GGAAGGAGAAGGAGAAGTAGGTGGCAGCGCCATCACGGATGGGGACTGGTGAAGGAGACGGCGAGGAGGAAAATAGGCGTTGGTCGCAGCCGGCGCCGGCATTGGAGTGGCAGATCGGTTCCATGGTTGGATCGGGTGGGGCGCTGGAGATAGATACTAAGGGGTTTTGACAGGGGCTGGCGAAGGAGACGGCGAGGAGGAGGAGAGGCGTTGGCGACGGACGGCGCCGTCATTGGAGTGGCAGATCGGTTTCATGGTTGGATCGGGTGGGGTGCTGGAGATAGATACTATTTTTTGTGTAGTTGTAGGGAAAGAAAAAGAGTAGAGAGTAGAGATTAGAGAAGAGAGCAGCCAACCTTTTTCCTCAAGCTCGTAACCCTAGCCGGGAGGGCATCCGCACCCCCCCGCAGACGGGCGACATCCTTCTCGTCCAGATCCGCGGCTGTTCCTTTCCGGCTAAGCCACGCCACCCTTGCTTGCTCGCTCGACGCGCGGAATCAGCTAGGATACATTGCGCGATGTGAGTGTTTCTATTTCCTATGTGCTTAATTGCCCCGGACCAGTTGTATGTATTGTTTCTCTGTCCATCGCAGTCTACCATCCTCTAATCACAGCAACACTTAAGTTGATATACCAATTTGGATTTGAATTTCTAAGTTACGGAGTAATACCTTTTGAATAACTCTTTGATTTTCGATGTATGTAACACTGTGATTTTGGCAAGCATATTATATCAGATACTGTAACTCTTTGATTTTCGATGTATACAACACTGTGATTTTGGCAAGCATATCATCTCAGATATGCTGTGTTTCAGGACTGCAAAAACCAGTAGGAAGGAGCGAGGCAGCAACAGCGGGCAGCGGCATGGGGCAACCGAAGCTGCGATGAACATGTGGAAAGGTGAGTCATTGATCAATTTATGGGCTTTCTAGCTGCTGATTTTTTCATTGATTTCTTGTACATGTTAGTTGCATGCTTGAATTAATTGCTAGAGTACTGAAGATCTGGTTGTTTATCATGCATGTTCTTTCATTAGTTCGGAAAGCTGCTTTAAAGGAGGCTCATGCTGCGGAACAGTCCTTCAGGGAAAAAGAACCTGACCGACATGTTACTCCATTCGAACCGACAAAATTTGGTGGCTGCGTCCAGGAAATTTCGGATTCGCATTTCAGGCACAGTGTTGTCTCAATTTCTCTGCTTGCGGGTGATTATTCTGCTTTGTATAAGCTCTTGGATTCTCTCCAAATTCATATTCGTTCGTCTTACTGATTTTAATCATGATCTTTGTGCAGGAGACACGATAGTATTCTCATGCTCGGGAACAGCCGTACGACACTGGAACAATATAATACAAGAACCCCATACAGTATTTGTGACTACCTCACGTTTGGTGGTGGAATTTGAGAATAAGAGAACCAGGGATGATAATTTTGTGGTTAGTGCAACTCACTGTTTTCCTCTGCTGTGATCGTGATTGATCATTCTGTGATGTTGTACTGAGGGTTTCCTCGCTACAGGTTCAAGTCTGTCGTCCTGATGGTACAACTATCCCTGGGTTCTTGGGATTGTGGGATGAAAAAATGGAAATTGCTATTGTCACGGCCTTCAACAGCCGACTCGTCTACCCTGTGGATACATGTGGCCCTCTGGATCTGCACCGAGACGCAGACAAGCTTAATCTATTTGCAGCTGGCCGTCACTTCGATGGCACTTTGATGAGCATAAGATGCAATGATCCTCGTTTCAAAGATGGCCTTTGGTTTTGCGAATGTAGTATCACAGAGGTATACTCTTGATATTTGTCTGAAATTCTTGCATGTTATGTGTGAATGTTTCCTTTGCAATCCCTGTCTCTTTTGCTAGGCTGGACTTGGAGGGCCAGTTATACTATTTAATGGTGGTGAAGGATGCTTTGCTGGGGTGATAACTAAATTGTGTCAAGGCGGTTTCTTGTTCGTACCAACTCAGTTACTTCATGAACGGTTGCAGCAATTTGAGATGCCCAGGTATATCTTCTGGGCAAGTCAAGTACTCACTCGTCCTGAATTACTTGTCTTGGATTTTTCTAGATACGGATGTAACTATGTATCTAGACACGTTTTAGTGTTAGGTACATCTGTATCTAGACAACTCTACGACAACAATAAAGCCTTTAGTCCCAAACAAGTTGGGGTAGGCTCGTATCTAGACAAATCTAAGACAACTAATTTGGGAAATATTATCCACTAGTGCAATGGCCGTGCGTTAGGTTAGGTCATTGTCTTAGGAGATCGTCGATAGATGTTGGTATTCGGCAGCCCTCTCACGGTTCACGATTAAAAAGAGAATGAGAATACAATTTGAGATCACGCGGCAGGCGCAAGAGAATCTTAAGGGATCATAGTAGGTCAATTCCAAGAATTTAAGTGAGCTAGCAACAAAGCCTTCTCCAAGAATTTTGAGATAGTGTCATCTCTGCATTTTCCATTTGTGCCTTTTACAAGAGTTTCGATCTCACATGAAGCAAAAGTACATTTTGTTCATTTTACTTCTTATGGGAGGTTGCTAGCCCACATGTGGATAGGAGTGCATTTGTTTATTTATGAAGGTTGTTTGTCCCACATGTGAACTGACCACCAACTCCAACCTTTATAGGTAGGAAAGATATCTTCACCAGTTGCCTTACTTATCCCCGATTTGCTTATCTATAGAAGTTCCAAATACCCCTCCTGTTCCACTTGAATTTAGTGTTCTTGCTTCAATGTCGGAGCTTGTGTGTTTCTCTGAATGAAGAAGAACCTGAGCATGTCTATCAGTTGGGGAATCAAGAACAATGCCACTCATTTTCTTGACATCTCAATCCTCGTCTTTTGCTAATTATTTATAAGCTGATATTCAAGTCTTTTTGTATACGTGTTTTCTTTCGTACAGTTTGGTGTATATCTACTTCATTTGATTGTAGTAAACATGTTTTATTGCAGTAACACTACCCAGTTCCGTGAATATTCTTTGCCTCAGGGTGCATCCTGCGTTGTCCCTTCAGGTTTGAATTATCTTGCAAGTCATCATTCTTTGTGAATGCTGTCTTAGTATAACCTTACACTTATCAATCACATTATTGCATCAGGATTTAAGGTCAGGTCTAAGATGCTAGAGTCTTTGGGCTACCCCCTACCACCACCACTGGTGTTTGAGTGTAAGTCGTATTCGTATATTGCTGACTTCTCCCTTGTGCACTTCTGTATTTCTAATTTCTGTACTTGTTTCCTAATTAACCAGTCAATGGGCGATTAATTGGTACGTTTGAAGAAAGGTTTGGTGAACTTCATGTCTGGAAAGGATACCGTTTAGACATCTACGCCAACTATGAGAAGCCTCTCTGGAAGCAGCTTGGAAAAAAAGTTGTTGAGCGTGTTTCTAAAAGTGTTGTCTCAGTTGCTTCATTCAATGGTAACAACGTGAGGTGTTTTGCTTGCACAGGCTTGCTTATAACTATTGAGCACCGCATGTTTGTCCTTACTGCGGCCAGTTTGGTTAGAACTGGTGATGCTAAAAACAACATTGATCTGAACTTGATGGTTAGTTGTTGATCCTAATCAGTTTTCTTCGCCTTTTAAGTTTGGTGATGGTTAATTAGTTGAGCTTTATGAACTCTATTTGTTGCAGATTAAGGTGTTTCTACCGCCAGAACAATCGGTGGTGGGGAAATTGGAATTTTACCATCAAGATTACAACATTGCCGTTCTCAGTCTCGAGGATAATCTCACTGATGTTTGTCCACAAGATATCTTCGTAGCCACAAGGTTATCTAAATCTGAGGTGGTTGCTATTGGGCGTACAACTAAAGATAATGGTGGGTTATTGATGGCCTCAAAGGGTAACAGGAAGTCTATAATAAGTTCAAGAAACAAGGATCCGGGTTCAGAACTTGATTGCAAAGATCTCAAGTTCTCAACTTGTCAAATCAAGAAGGTACAGTTTTTTTTTCTTGGCATTTTTTACGTGGTACCTGTGTAGATAGTTAATATACTTGAGTTGTATCTTCAGTTTATTTGATAATACTGAGCTGCTAGATTTACTACGGCTGCTTCTCCATGTAACTGTATGTGCATTATTTTTGTATTAGGTTGGGATTGGAGGGCCCCTTATTTGTCTTGATGATGGGAGTTTTGTTGGCATGAACTTCTATGATGAAAGTGGAACGACTCCTTATCTGCCAAGGAGCAATATTGTAAAAGTTTTAAAGAGAGGGAATAATCTTCTGTCACAAGGGTATAATTTTTTTTCTTTCTCTTGATGCTGATTAGTAGACATGTGTATCCAACAAACTTTCATTGACAAATATATGTTGGACAACAGAAAATTGCTCCCTCCCATTAGCCTTGACACGAAGAGAGGTGGTAATGCTGCAGAGAGGATCCGGTAAAGCTATCTATTTCTTAATGTCACTTGTTTGTGGTAGCATATACTGTTTATTCGGCAGTGAACATATATTGAAAAGATAATATTGGATGGCAGGTGGACTGTACCCAAGCCATATTGGTTTATTGCTGGTCAAGTTGATGTTCTAGGCCATCTTGTTGGTAAAGTTCCCATGTAGACGTCAAGCTGCTGTTGGAGTGCTCCATATGAATATATTCCATTTTATCCCTCGCAGACATTATATAATTTAAGAGGCTGGTGCTAGTTATGTTTTGTCAAAAATGTTTATTTATGGTATTTGTTTAGTATGTCTTATCACTGTCAAGTATCTAATCATGCAAGGAAGTGTTGGATCTGTATTTTCTATGATATATGAGTTTGTTTTATGCTACCTCAGATCTGGAAAATCGTAATTCTTTGCAAAAAAAAAAGTTTATCACCGCTGTTATAAGAGCATCTCCAACATCCACTACTAGTTGATACATCATTTGAGTGCCATGGGGGTTAGTAGGAGAGATGGGGGATAAGTTTTGCCATCTTCTCCTCAGCTGTTCTGTGCAATCAGGTTCATATTTGGTGTTGCTGCTGATAAGCCCCGGCGTCCAACCAACAATAATACAACAGAATTGCTAATTTTCAGTCGGATGAAATCAATTTACTTTCATTTGTTTTTTTGTCCATCTGATCTCTGTGTTGAGATTCGTGCAATTCTGTTTCTTCCAGCTCTCTGGTTGTTTGGTTCTTACCGGGTCCGTAAACTTTTCAAGGAGACCCGTCAATTTTGTGCGTCGCGTCTCCTGATATGAGTACCTACTAGAAAATATGCCCGTGCGTTGCTACGGGATGTATAGGCAATGGTTGAAAAAAGAGGGTGGTACACGGATGACTTCCACCGAGTGCATTTTTTCTCTGACTTTGAAGCACATTCTTCAAGAGTTCAGTTACTAATTCAAAGGATTTTTGAAGTAAGAGCACACATTGTAGATTAGACCGTCAATATATAGTAAATATATAGTGACCACAGTAAAAATGTCTTATACTTCGCCTAGTGTCGAAGCATGTTGTGTGTGTGCTCACTGTGAAGTCCTTGTCGCATGGATGTATAACTTCTTATATTGTCGTGATATATGCAGGATTTCTCCATCGCAGTTCAATCTTTGATTAGCGTGTTGCGCCTCAATTGTTGGTTCTTTTGTTCTGGTTGCATATTTTTGTCTTTCTGCCTTTCCCATGCACACTTTTTTATCATCTGTGTTGGCTTCATGTTTGCATTTTTTTTGTGTGTATTTTTTTTGCAACCGGGTCATATCTTTAGTTCTTTTGCTTAGTGGATAGGCTTCACATCACCTTTTCAGTTTTTCCTGTTTGTCTTCATTAGTCATTCATGCATACCGCTTTTTATCTCTTTTTCTTCTTCGTTCTTTGCCATCTCCGTGACTCGAGATTGCCATCCAAATTACTTTCTTGCATGAGAGTTTTGGATACTATATGAATCTGTTGTTGATTGAAAAACTGATATAAAATCTGCATCATAAATAGAGCATATGTAGCTACTTATAAATAAATCTAATTACGCTGGATATAAGCATCGGAATATATGTGTTGTTTGCATGCTAGAGTATTGTGTTTTTCCTTGAAGCAATTTAGATAGCAGAAAAATGATATTAAAGTAAGAGCATTGCTATATACACCATGTTTTTCGTCCGACTTCACTACGAAGTTCTAGATAAGTATGTCGATGTCTAGTGACAAAGCATATCAGACCGGCATATTAACCATTGCACGAACATCAAATAATAAAAACGTCGTATATGTAATACTTCAAAAGTAATTTTACATGGTTGCTATTGTTTTTGTTTCTCCATAGCATCAATGTTTTGGTCAAAATGATGTATAAGTTGGTTGCATTGTTCCTCCATACCACCTTCAACATGACCATATTCAAGGACATCAAGCATGCCATTTTCTTCCTGATCCGGAACAACAACCTTATTGAGAACAATTAAAGACTTTGTGGTCATGATATGTAAATACCTATATTTTACTATACACTCGTATAAACCGAAATCAGCAACGCCCTGAGATAATTTATGTATGTACTTTATTGGACGTCCAGGCATACATGTTGCCGCAGTGTGTGACCCGAGCTATTTAGTCAATAAAAGTATGTCAAAAAACGCAAACAGATGCAAATCCAACTTCAAAGAAAATGTAGAACCAAAGCAGCAATCGTGTGCATGTAGATTCGGGAAGAAAGAAAATGCATGCACAGCCAAGCGGTTTGATGGGTAAAGGAGCGTGTCCCTCCTAGTCAATTCTTATTTCTTTAATCTATCTATAGTTATTTATATTATCAAATCTAGCTAATCTTCAGTCGGTGAATGCTCCCGTGTCCAGCCCGCAACACATTATCCAGCTGTGGCTTAAAAAACAAAAGACAACGAAACGTGTTGTCACATCCGGAGATCCCACAAAGCAAAATCCAAACTTACTCTCGAGAAGTCCGTCCTCTCGTGACGGTTTCGTGCCGCTTCTGGCGTGTTCTTGGCGCTTCCATAGCAGTTCAGCGTCGGCAGCTCTTGCCGCCAGGGTCTGATCCAATTCCACAAAATCTCGAACCTAAATCTAGTTCCTCTCGTTTTCCACCAAAAAGAGAAGAGATCCAGTCTAGTTTTCCACAGCTCAGAAAGAGTAGCCAGGCAGTCTTGGGGGCACCTCTGTCACCAGATCGGAGGAGGCTTATTCGAGGAGGCAGAGGTGGAGGGACACCGCGTCAGTGCAAGGTGTCCGGGGCGGCCCTACCCAAGGTAAATCAGGTGTGTGAGGAGGCAGAAAGAAGTTCTGAAGGAGGAGGGGCGCTGTGTTGGGGTCCCTGCGGCTGGCGGTTACAATGGGAAGTGAAATACTACAAGCTTTGGGTGGAGTGGAAGGAAAATTAAAAGGATTGAAGCTCTCAGAGGCAGAGAAGAAAGTGATTAAAATCGGAAAGAAGAGCGGAAATCACTTGAGAGTGGGAAAGCTCCAAGCAGTGGGGAAGCTTTTGTCGGACAGACCGGCGAAATCTGAACATTTGGGGAGGACATTAGCAGGAGTTTGGTGCCCCTTCTATGGATTGGAGTGCAAGGATCTTGGTAAGAATCGTTTCTTGTTTTGTTTTCGTGAAGAGAAGGGAAAAATGAAGGCAGTAGAAAATGGACCATGGTTTTTCAATAAAAGCTTGCTGGTGATGGAAGATTTTGCGCCCAATAAAACCATAGATGAATATCAATTTAAGACCATACCGATATGGGTAAGGGTGTATGGTATTTCGATGGGGATGATGGATAGAGAAACAGGGGTTTTAATTGGGGAACAGATCGGTGAAGTCTTGGATATGGAGGTGGATGATAATGGTTTTGCATTTGGGCAATTTATGAGGATCAAAGTAAGAATGGACATCACTATACCACTGATGAGAAGGATCACTATTGAGGGTGAGGAGGAAGATGAGCAGTACCAGAAGAAGGGATTAATGGGAGAAGGGTGTAATGAAGAAAAGAATGAGGAGGAAGAGCAGAAGAAAGTGGTTTCATTTGAATACGAACATTTACCAGACTTCTGCTACAATTGTGGGATCATTGGTCACAGTGAAAAAAATTGCACAACGAAAACAGAACATGAAGGTAGTCGACAGTATGGTCCATGGTTGCGTGCAGCAACCTATAAAGGGAGTTCCAGTGATGAGAAGAGCAGAGAATCAAGTGAGAAAGGTGATTTCTGTAAAGGTAACAACGTGGGAAGCAAGGGCAGTAGGCAGGGAAGGGTTGGTCCATCATGGAAAGAGATTCCACCAAGCGGGCGAGCTGACAACAGAAAAAAAGAGATGAGAAGGAAATTACAAGCCCCTTAAAAATAACAAATGAAGAGCAAACAAAGACAACAGGGAGTAAAAAACTGGTTTTTGAGGAAGAACAACAGAACGCTCATGTGAAGGGAGAAGAAAACGGGAAGGATAAGCACATGGAGAATAAGGAGGAGAACCTAGAGGGACCAACAAAGAAACCAGAAAGAGCGGTCTCGACCTGGGACGACACGGAACCTGAATATGTTTTCCTGAATTTAGGCTTAAAAAAGTTGAGAAGCACTTTCAAGCGCAGAGAGCGGCAAGAAGGAGTGAAAACTCAAAAACTGTTGGTGCCGCCACCAAAGAAAAGAGGGGTAGACCTCATGGAGATTGATGAGGAATATGAGTCGGCGAAAAAAGTAAGGATGGAGGAGAAGAAAACAGATGGAGTGCTAGGAGAAGAAGTCTTTAACAAAGATGATTCAGACAAGGAAGCTGGGCTGCCACGACAGCCCGGCGGGAGAAAATGAAGCTTATCGCCTGGAACTGCCTCTAACAAGCATCACATTTTTATCAAGTGCTTTATGTTGTGACTCAAGGATCAAACACATTCACGACAAATTCTAGAGGGGGAGAGAGAAATTACATTTTTATCGAGCCCTTCTTGGAAATTGACGTCAAAGGGGGAGAGAGAGATCACATCAAAGCTTATCATTTTAGAGAGAGTATCACCTTCTTAGTGGGAGAGAGATCCTTCAGGGAGAGAGAGAGAGAGATCTCCAAGGGAAGAGAATACTAGTAGAAAGTATTTCTCAAGGATCCCAGATGCTTAGTGTTCAAGAGGAGAGATGCCACATGTCTTCTTGAGGGAAAAGACATGTTCATATGTGCTTATTTGCATTAGTTTGCATTAGCTCTGTTCATTTATATCTTTCAGCTCTGATTTTCTGTTCCCTATCTTCTCCCAGTATCCCATGCTAGATTCAGGGGGAGCAAGACATCCAAGGGAAAGAAATCATTCAAATTCATTGCATATCTTTATTCTTGGGGACATGTCTAATCAAATGTGGTACTTAGTACTCACTCTCTACATGTCATCCCAGTCTTGGTATTCTTGTGGTTTCTTCTGTTTGCTCTGGCTAGTAGATGTATCTGTGTTATCTAACCTTGTTTACATAGGTTCATTCCATCCTAAGCCTACTCAAGACTACAAGGTAAGTATATGCATTACAATCATGTGTATGAGGAATTCTTGCTGATGTACATACTGTTTGCAAGAAGGACTCATGGGCATGAAGGTATTTCCTTTAATACTTTTTGCTTTGATGCATATGGCCAAGATACATGTAACACAT